TCTTCCTTTGCTCTCTTACTCCCGCGTCTTTAAGGAGCAACCTTCATTTCCGGAATGCAATAGTCCCATTTCCATATAAGGAATGGGACCGACGGAAAGGTCTGTCACCGCCCCGAGCTGCATGCTGCAGCGAAGTGTAGAACATGAGTAGAAGAAACTCTCTAACTTCTTCCTTTCTTCTTCCTTTGCTCTCTTACTCCCGCGTCTTTAAGGAGCAACCTTCATTTCCGGAATGCAATAGTCCCATTTCCATATAAGGTATGACTGACGGAAAGGTCTGTCACCGCCCCGAGCTGCATGCTGCAGCGAAGTGTACCTCAATGCGTCAGTGAGGCTAGTGGGCGGGTGTACAGAGGAGAGCATTGATTGGTCAGTAAAATTGGTGGGCGGGTGTGCAGGGAGAGCGTTTATTGGTCGCGCCCCCAACGGTTCGCATATTTCTGCCCTCTGATTGGAAGACTCGTGAAGCCAGACCGCTGCGCTTGTCTCGTTATAAAACACATTTGCCCAGGCTTGATAGCGGGAAGTCTTTGTAAGTCAGCTACAAACAACGAGCGGGAGTGCTAGCTAAAATCCTTATTGAGTTAAGTTTATTGAAGATTTGTGTGACTAAAACTTGTTTCGTGACTAATCTGAAAATCATCAAATGAACGGGCTCCAGTAAAGGGCGAACAGCTCGTCTGTCACTCCTGACTCATCAAGCCCTGAAACTGGTCCAGGATCGGCTGCCAAGAGAGCTTTTATAACAAAGGGGAAAAACAGCAATAGCGAATAGGAAGCTATCCACAGCTTAGTAAGCACGTTTTTAAGAACTGGAGTGAGTCTGAACCGACCAAAAAAGGTTATATGGGGGCAGTTGTGACGCACAGAGGATGTGGGCAGGCACGCTCTTCATTTCTGTCTCATTCAGCCGGGAAAAGGCTGCTGACTACACATCCATCCCACACCCAACTTCTCACGATTAGATAGGTCAGCTCATTTAAACATCGTTTTTTTTTATTACAAACATATTAAATAATAAGAAAAGTTATGCCAGGAGATACAATCAAGACATAATCATAGTACTGATGATTAGTATTCATATTTACAATGTGTCAACTTTACCCGCCCCCTCCAAAACAAGACAAGTAGATGTCTTTTCATACTAAAACAAATACATTCATGAATTATACCAAGGAAAATGTCTCGTATGAGAGGCAGAGAGTGAAATGTCAAAGACCAACTTCATACAAAAGCTTTGGCAAGACTGCGTACAAATTATCAATAAGAACCAAAAGAGGAAACTAAACATCTTTTCGAGAAAATTACATGTACAAATGAGCAGTAGCGCAGGAAGAGTCCAGTGCTTTTCGTTTGTCTGTTTTCCAATGAGTAAAGAGGAGCAGCTGTGTGTGCTTTGGCTGCTCCCTTCGTCCCTCTGGTATCTCGGGAGTGAGTAAGATGGCATTTGTTCATTGTTTACTTGGAGCCAGCAGGTACCAACATGCTCAGGGTGGCAATGGCGGGCTTCGAGGGAGGAGTCTTGCCCGCGGCCATTTTGCTCAGGCTGCGAACGTCCGCCTGCCAGCTGGGAATCTTTTTTGTCGTCATGTGACGGCGGGCGTGTTTGGTGAGGTGGTCGCTGCGCATGAATCGCCGGTCGCACACGGGACAGACGAACTTCTTCTCCCCGGTGTGCGTCCGGCGGTGCCGGGACAGCTCGTCGGAGCGGGCGAACCTCTTGTCGCAGCCTTCCCAGCTGCAACTGAAGGGCTTCTCGCCTAAAAGGAGGGGCACAGAAACAAATAAAAAAAAAAAAGAAGTAGTGACTCAGACTGCAGTCATAACTTTACTCATCATTAGTGTTATCAAACAATGAGCTCAGAGTCTGCTCGTCGAGAAAAACAAGACTGAGAAACAGGATGCGACACTCGTCTGCAGTAGGCGCATCCTCAAGAGAATTACAGCCTCTGTAAACAGGAAACCCTCACCTGTGTGCGTTCGCAGGTGAGCCTTAAGGTGCGAGCTCTTGAAGTACGTCTTCCTGCAGCCTGGAAAGCTGCAGACGTAGTTCCTCCTGCGGGAAAAGTCCATTTTCGTTACCGCCGCCGCGCCGCCGGCGGGCCCCGCCGGCAAATACACGGGAGCCGGGGCCAGAGGCAGCAGCTTGGTGTTGCCCAGAGTCATGACGGTCTGCGGGCAGTGAGGCGCCTGAGACACGGAGGACTGAGGGAGGACCAGCATCACCGTCCCCTGGGGCACCGCCGAGCCCACGATCAGGGACTGCTGGACCGGGCTCGCTGCGGCAGGCTGCGGGAGAATGGGAGACGTGGCAGTCCGGATCCCAGTGCTGGAGGTCTGAACCGGACTGGGGATGAACGCTGAGATTATACCAGATTGGCTGCAGACGGGGAACATCTGGCAGATGATCTGAGGACTGGTCACTTGAGGAGGGGACAGGGTCGTGGGAACGCCGGGGGACGACGGGCCGCTTTGTGGCTCTGTGTTGACAAAAGCGCAGGTGGGGGAGGCTCTGTCCGAACAGGGTTTCGAGGGACCGCGAGCGGGTTCTGGCTCTGACGGCACGAGGCCATCGGGAAGCGATGGAGGCGTGGTCATCGGCGCGGCGTTCGTGATGTGCCCCTGCTGCCGCTGTTTGCAGATAAACGTCTCAGTGTCTGCGGTTCTCCCCGAACCGGAGGTCGCCGGAATGTGGCGCTGGCAGACGTTCCGGTCTGCCGTGTGGCGGATGACGCTGGTCGCCATGGCTCTGCAGGGCTGAGGCGGAGCGGGAAGGGAGGGGGATTTGTCGGCAGAGGGTGCCGGGTTCTGTTGGTGGAACCTGGAGGCAGGGTGCTGCGTGGGCACGGCCGAGCCGGGGCACGACTGGACCCCGCTGCCTGGCGAGGTCTCCACGAAGCTGGGGCTGTGTGGGGGCGTCATGCACTGCGAAGAAACAGTGGACGAATTAATGACTTTGCAGAGACCCCGTTTTGTATACAGGCACACACATGATCAATCAGAGCAATAAACAGTCTGTTTTATGATCCAAGTCTGCATGAAGGTAACAGTTTCAAAGACTTGTCTTTTCCACTCCCACGTCATAAACTAAGGGCAAGGGGTTCATGCAAACCTAGACTCCTAAACCACAGAGTAAGCATGATCTCTGGAACTTTACAACCCGTCGTAACATCGACGCCCAGTTCTACCGCTTGTTTGATGAGGTCTTACCAGAGAGGAAAAGGACACAAAGTCCTTTGGAGGCTCTGGGAGCTCCAGCGGGAGGAGGGAGTCGCAGGAGTCAGAAGCCGGGGTGAGGGGCCTGGGCTTGCAGCCGTTGGCCTTGTTGCCGCCGAGGAAGAAAGTCTGTCCCCAGGAGCTCATGCACACCAGGGCTTCGGCCGCCTCCAGGTCCGTGTACTCCGCCGAGCAGCTGCTGGTTCCACTGGAGACGGAACGCTCGCTGTCATGTCTCCTCCTCTTCACACAAGACCCATACTTTTCCATGTGTTCGGTCTAAAGGCAAACGAAACGTTACTTTTCAACTAAGTCCCTAAAAACCTATCAGTTCCTGTAGCTGAAAATTTCTGGGCCAGACTTGCATGAGGATACCAGTGGAGGGGAAGAAGTGGAAGGGTGGTGGTGGTGGTGGTGGTGAGGGGGACTACACCCCAGCCCAGCATGCACACCCTCTGGCCCAAAGCCAAAACACCTCCCCTTCCCAAATATAGACCAAACGGTGACGTGCTGCCAGATCGGCCATGTGAAATCCCCATAAAGCGGGTCGCATCAGGAAGTAGTCTTGTTACAACTTTTTGGTAAACATTTTTACCCCCTCAAAAAAAAAGAAACCCAACTAAAATAATTGGTTCATATTTAAAATACTTATTTAATATTTTAAATTGTAATAATTTTATAAATAATAAAGAAAACAACACGTATAAAAATGGCAACTTTAATATAGGAGTCAATATTAAACTTTAAATTTAGCTTCTCGTGAGTTTGACGGTAAACAGGAGATTACGTGACGGAAAAGGAAACAAACAAGACAAACAAAAGACATTGTTTAAAACAAACAAAAAATAATTGTTTTTTAAAATTATCTTACCTGGTACATGTCCATTTCATTTACCATTCGCGAGGAAGATGACAAAATATAAAAGTCAGTTTTTTGTTGTCAAAGCCAGTGTTAGAACAAAGAAATAAACGGCGTTCCGCCACAGCTTCTGCCTCTTGTAGGACAGAGTTCAGACCGTCTCTTTTTTTTCCTGACTGGCTCCTTTTTCTCTCAGCTGTGTGTGTAAAACACGGGGAGGAGAAAAGGAACAAAAAAAAAAACGACAACAGAGAGAGAGAGGGAAAAAAAAAGAAAAACTAAACTCATAACACACGTACTTTCGGGGTGGCAACACTTGGCCAATCGCGACCAAGTGTGTGCTGCGCTTCAGCCAATGGGAGAGCGGAAAGCGCGTGGACATTGCGTGCTCGCCGGGCGGTTGGAGGAAGTGGGGTGCGTGGCCGTTGGTGGGCGTGGCCTCCGAGTCAGCAGTGTCAGGGTGAACCCGATGAACTGGCTGCCGCTGAAACTGGACGAAAGGTCGAGTCGGTGTGTGTGTGCTGCGTTCAGTGAAAAAACACGGATAACCTGCTGGAAATACCCGGCCACCGCCAAATGCGTTGCGTTACACAAGACACGTATTGATTAAAGCTGAACAATTTATTTGTTTTTCGTAATTAAGAAATGCCCGAACCGCATAATTCATGTGTTTTTCCTATTATATTTGCGTTACATTTTTCGTAGGATAGCTAAAATGCAAAAAAATAAAAAAGTATGAAAGGAAATACATACAGTAGACATACATGTCCTCGCTGCATGACTGACTGCACATAACTTTCATTTGTTTCCAAAAATATCCATCCCGAAAAACACTGAAGAAGGCTTTTTCCGTTGTTATGAAACCATCTTTCGTTTGTCCCACATTCCTCATAGTCTGTGAACGCAACACTCGTGTCAGACAAAGCGCGGGCTACGCTCTTGTTTTTCTTTTTTTAAAAACATGTTTATGCCTTTTTCTTTCGGGGGAAAAAAACACGTAAGCAACTGCATAGCTCTTACCACAAGTGCATTCTAATGTTTTAACCGAGTACAAAATGGCTAGTATTGCTTTAATTATTTCATAAATATAAAACAAAATATAATGTGCCTTCAAACGCATGAATGAGTCTTTTTAATTGTTTGAAGTCTAATCAAAACCACCTATGTAAACCCATCGATTATAATGAAATGTATTAAGAAGTCAGTATTGTTCCTAGCCTAAATGTCTGGTACAAATTTGTCATTGGGAATAAAATTATATAATTCAAGCCTATGTTTAAGTTACCAGCAAGGTTTTAGTTAGAACTGAGGCCTTGTGGGTAATTTGACTCAAGGGCTGCAGGGGAGTTAAAAGTTTCTATATTACTAAGAAAAGTTATTCTACCTTGTATGACTACTGTATATTTAGTAGTCTTTCTGTAAGTTCTGTTGGTCTGATCATTTTTTAAACATTAATAACTTGACATAATAGTTGAAATGAAATTGGTGTATTAACTCGCGTATGCAACAGTAAAATGTGTCGAAAGTTTTCAGGAAATTTCAAAGCAGAGCAAAACAATAGATTAGAGCATATTGTTTACTTAGCTTAGCCAAGCCGTCCTGGAAATAACAAGTCACCATGAGCTTTTGTTTAGTTTTATATTTCATGGTTTGTTCATAAAAAAACCTTGACTTGTTCTAACGTTCGTCTTATTGTTAAACCCTTTGTCAGCAGCTCGCCTGGGGCAGAGGGGAGTGTTGCAGGTGTGTCGTCCCTGCCCTGGCAGCACCTGCCCGCTGCAGGAAGGCCGTACCCAGGTATGACTCACGTAAGCGTGAGCTCAGGGAGCCCACAGGGGCCCGGAGCTCTGGCACTGCAGATTCAGCGCCAGCTGCTAGTGAGGGGGGCACGAGGGAGGAGCTACACGGAAAAACCAGTTAGCTCACAGGAATGACAAGCAGCCCGGGCCCAAGTACAGCGGCCTGTTTGTGATATAAGTAGGGCAGCTCATTTCAGCTAGTTAGGGAATCTGGAGGAAAGGTTACCTTGGCCCTATCTGGGGCCTCTGCACGCACGCCTCCCCCTGTCCGGCAACTCCCCCCAGGAACTCCAGGAGTCAAAAACAGAGGGAGTCGGGCCAACGGGGTTAAATATATCAGGGACTATGATACCCCCCACCCTGGGGTCTGACAGGCTCAGAGATAAGAGTCAGCACATGAAGCACGCCACTAAAAACACATTTTACTTTATTAAACCTAATAAGCACACTTTAGCTTTTATATACATATATTAATGATTGACACTAATGCAAAACTAGAGATTATTTTTTATATGAAAGTTCTCTTACAAGCACGATATTAGCTGATCTGAAGGACACCGTTCTCAAGACTATTTTATGTCTCATTTTAAAAATTGAACAAGCACGATTTAAAATTTGAAGATGATTCCCTCAAAATAACTTTATTTATCTGTCCTAAATCAACGCAGACTCAATGGATTTTTGGATTTTAACACACGATAATATATCTAAATTACTCTTAGTCATTTTTGCACTGATAAACTCAGATCCAGATGAATTTCTGAGCACACAAGGGAAAAAATATCCTGCAAAACTGGCATCTGGGTCAAAGGTCACAGACATTAAAGCTTATATAAAAACCTAAAAGGACCAAGGAGTCTTGTTAACTTTCTATTTCCCCCTTTTTATAACCTACTTTTGTCTCTGTCTTTTTAATTAAATAGTAGTTTAGAAAGACCGAAAAAAAAACAGAAAAAAACAAAGTGTAAATACTAAAGATGGACAAACCATCCAAAAACATCTGACATTTATTAAATTAAATGCCATTTTTTAATTTGTAAAATTCTGATCCCACATAAATAAATGTCACAACTTATTTGTCCAGAGCTCATTTCCAACAGGCTCAACTAAAGCAGAAAATTACCCCCTTTTATGGAAACGGACACTGCGTCCACAGCTGGAAGCCATCAAGCTAGTGGATTTTAAAAAGCCATCATGTGTGACAAATAATATGAACATGAGTAACTTAATTATTTCTGAATGAAGTATATAATTTGTTTGAGGGGAAATGTGTTTCAAACAATACCCTTGACAAAAAAAAACTATGATTATTTCAGCAAAAACCTATAGTAATAAAGAACAACTTTAAGTACATTTGGAAAACATTTCACTTTCTGAACGGCAGCGTTTGCTCTTCTCAGTTTCCAAATCTTTACTCAGAGTTGCTGAAAGGAAAAGTGATGCAACACAGCAGTAAACACCAGCCTGTCCGAACTACCGGTGTTTAATTTCAAAACAGAAAAACATGTTTTCTGCACCCTTTTTAATGAAATGCTGAGTTTTATCAAATTGAATGAAAATTGTTCATTTTTAAACTAGGAGCTGCCATAACAATACAAAAAGGAGGAAACGTAAACACAAATAAAGCAAAACATTTTTTTGCATTTATTATAATTTCATTGTATTATTAACCCCAATTTCATATATTTGACATGAAAATTATAAAGAGAAATATGTAAATAACCACAATTTAGTCCATGGCATCAACAAACTATTTTACTTCATAACTAAA